TTCATGGCACATGGGACGGATTTGGCAAAGGCTGGGATAATCGCCACCTGCCAAGGGTCCACCCCACACCTGGTATTTCCTAGAGTGGCTGCCAGCGTCACGATGACCATGACCTTGTGCTCAGAAGGTGTCACCACCGGCTTCAGAGCTGAAGATAGTGACACTCAGAGAGACTGAGTGACTTGCCCTTCTGGCAAGTGATACAACTGGAGTCTTGTTCCAAACTAGGCGCTTTACATATTTTACCTAATTTAATCCTCCCGAGAACCCCAGTGCTACCCACTCCATTTGGCAGGCCCAGAAACTGTTCATCACCTGCCTAGTATTAAACTCCCGGGCAGCGGCAAAGTGAGGATTCGAACCCAGGACCTCCAGCTGCCCTTGGCAACTGCCCTCTGCTGTCTGGACAAGTCCATTGCAGGTGCTTGGTCCATTTTGCAGAACCAAGCAGCATGTGTGCTGGCTGTGGGGGGCAGGGCAGCATGGCCCCAGCTGAGGGCCTGCTGAGGGAGGGAGAGAAGCTACAACTCCACATTTGGATGGAACTTTCAAGGGTCCTATAGCCCAGGCCTAGTTCCAGTGCAAGCCTCTGCTTGAACACCTCGGGGATGGGGTGCTTACTGCCAGTCTGCTCCGCTGTGAATGAACTTGATGGATTAGGAAACCCTTTCCTGGAGGAGAAGTTCACCACCTGCAACTCACTTGTCTCTGTTCTGTCTTCCTGAGCCACACAGATTTTACCATCACGTGAAACGATGATCATGATAATAAGAATGTCATGGCGACTGTTTTTATTTGAGAGGGTATAGTGCCCTAATCACCGCGTTTTGGGCTTTTTTTTTTCTATGTACTATCTCATTTAGCATTTAAAACTAACTATTGTGCCCATCCTCTCCCCACCCCAACAAAGACAGGAAGTGACCAATTTACAAACTAATTGTGTTCCTAACATTCTTTCGTAAGGCTGTTGTTTGGATGACATTCGGCTTTCCCACATAAACAATGTTATAAATGGCTGTGGGTGCCCCCACTAGCCCCCTAAAGGCTGGTTTACCCATCCCGCCTGATGGGCCCCCATACATTTACAATGAAAGAGAACAGAGGGAGTCAGGTTAGAGTCGCAGTCATTAAACAATGCAGGGAAAACCTGATGTTGGGAGAAAGATGATTGTTTGTCTCCAGTGCTGGCTGCCTCAGGAAGCGCCAGCCTGAAAGAGAATGGCCAACTTCCCGTGCTGGGGCAGGGGCAGCCTGGGAATGGCTTCAAAGCCCGTCTCTCCCCCTGACAGAAGCAGACAGTGCCCGGCCCAAGATTTTTATCCAAAGAATGGACCCAATGGTAAGACAGTGTGGAGCCTCAGAGGGGTGAGCCAGGCCCCGCCTTGCCACTTCCTGCATGTGGGGTCCCAGGAGAGCTACTGGACTTCTCTGAAGGTCCCCATGTGGGGAGCGGAAGCACTACGGTCCTTCCTGGGGGGCACTGAGGAGACAGAGACAGCAGGTGTCAAGAACTGAGTGCAGGCCAGGAGCCATGGCTCACGCCTATAATCCCAGCACTGTGGGAGGCTGAGGCAGGAGAATCACTTGAGGCTAGGAGTTTGAGACCAGCCTGGGCAACATAGCAAGACCTCATCTCTAAAAAAAAAATTTTAAGAACTTAGCACAGCCTCTGGCACATACTAGGTGGTCAGTAATGGTGACTGATATTGTTAAAAATAATAGAAGTTCTACAAGGCCCATGCCTGGGGGAGAAAAGAAGAAAGACATGGGGAAAGAGCAGTCCCAAATGCCAAAAGGCATGGTGCAGGGTCCGTAATGTGGGGAGGGGTTTCCTCCGATCTCAGATCTTGCCCAGCTTCTGTGTTTGGCAATGCACTGGGAATTAAAAGTGAAGAAGCTGAGGGGTATGGTAACTTATACTTATAATTCCAACATTTTGGGGGGCTAAGGCATGAGGATCAATTGAGGCCAGGAATTGAGCAGCCTAGGCAACAAAGTGAGACCCCATCTCTACAAAAATAAATAAATAAATAGCCAGGCATGGTGGCGCACACCTGTGGCCCCCAGCTACTCGGAGGGCCGAGGTGAGTGGATGGCCTGAGCCCAGGCAGTGAGCCATGATTGCACCACCAAACTCCAGCCTGGGGGTAAGGCAAGACCCTGTCTGGAAATAAACAGAAGTGGAGAAGAATCCCACAGGGGCCTCAAGGGGACTCGGATTTTGAAATAGGTTGAGAGGCTATCTGCGGTGAGCCAGCACAGCCTCGAAGCCTCCCGATAACCTGGGTGACCAGATAGTAACTTCAGACAACAGAGAACTCCACAGGCAACTGGAAGCCACCTGAACAGGAGGTTGGACCACCACCTCTGAAGCTGCGGCCGGTGGGCCTGGTCTCCAGACTGCTAGTTCACCAAGAGTTTTTAACTTTAGGAAGTCATTTCCCATGATTATTTGCATTGTGACCTTTTAACCAAGGGCAACTACAAAATTCCAGTCCCAACGTTCAGTTTGATCCTGGCCTGATAGCCATTCGGTGCCACTTTAATGGCCACAGAATACTAAGGAAAGAAAAGTGGACGTCAGATGGAAAGGACGCATTCATGACAACAGAAGGGGAACGGCACTCGGACGTGTTTTAAGACACAGAGGATTTGCAATAGTTCAAAAGAGAAAAGGCGGAGGAAAACTGAGTTTCACAATTGGTTTGAGAATGTGCTAGATTCCACGGAAGCTGCATTGAGGCCATAAGTACCACATTCCTGTTTCAAGCAAGACAGCATCATCCACTGGCATAGACTAATACCATTCCCTCAAATTTTATTCGTCTTGTAATTTTGATTGGATTTAACTTATCTTTCATTTTCATCTTGTCATAGAAGTAGACAATGCCAATGTTTAATTTTAGGTGAGCACAGGTTGACTGATTAATTGATTGATTGGCTGCTTTTTGGAGACAGGGTCTTGTGCAGTGCAGCGGTTCGATCTCAGCTCACTGCAGCCTCAACCTCCTAGGCTCAAGTGATCCTCCCACCTCAGTCTCCCAAAGTGCTGGGATTACAGGTATGAGCCACCACACCTGGCCTCATACTTATATAATGTTAAGCCAAAGTCACAATAGCCAAAAGGTGGGAGCAGCTCGTGTCCATCTACAAATGAATTGATAAATATATGTGGCCAGTCCCACAATGGACTATTACTCAGCCTTAAAAAGGAAGGAGGTTCTTAGTTGCACTGCCACGTGGGTGAACCTGGAGGATGTGATGCTGAGTAAAATAAGCCAGGTAGACAAAGTCAAGTCCTAAACCATTCTGGAGATGAATAGCGGTGAGTGTGGCACAGCAATATAATTGTATTTAATGCCATCGAACTCTACACCTTCAAATGGCTATGGTGGTAAATTTTATTGATGTTTTGTTTTGTTTTGTTTTTGAGATGAAGTTTTGTTTTGCTGCCCAGACTGGTGTGCAGTGGCGTGATCTCAGCTCACTGCAGCCTCCATCTCCCAGGTTCAAGTGATTCTCCTGACTCAGCCTCCCAAGTAGCTGACTACAGGCATGTGCCACCACACTCGGCTAATTTTTTCTATTTGTAGCAGAGATGGGGTTTCACCATGTTGGCCAGGATGGTCTTGATCTCCTGACCAGGTGATCTGCCAGAATCAGCTTCCCAAAGTGCCAGACAAAATGTGAGCCACCACGCCCAGCAATTTTATTGTTACAGATATTTCACCACAATAAAAATAGATATATAAAAGAAAGTTATGAAATCAACACTGGGAATGGGTGAGGTTTTTTTTTTTTTTAATTAAAAGATTTTGGGTGGTCTCAGGCCAAGAAAACCAGGACCCTCAGACTCACCTTTTCTCTGAGGTGTCCACTTCCGGGACTACAGAGGAGACTGCTCTCCCCACAACAGCATCTTGGCCGACCTCGCTGGAAAGGCAGCTCTCTATGGCCAGCCAGGAGGGCTGGGGAGACCAGTAATCATCGGCCCATGATGTTCCCAAACCTGCCTGTTTTGGGATGGCAGCCACCAGGACGGCCTGCCAAAATGAAGATGCCCGGGCCCTGCCCTGGGCTACTGAGTCACAGTCTCTAAGGGTAAGGAGGCCTGGAATCTACACTTTTAACAAGCTCCCCAAGCTCCCCTGAACACCCCACCTGCTAGGGTGTCAAGCCGGGCAGTGCAGAGGCCTGGAAGAGCCCAGGTGTACAACCCACAGCACCAACTTCACTACTGCCACCACTGCCTGCTCTGTGACTGTGAGCAAGTCATTCAGCCTCTCTGGGTCTCAGTTTCAGACCTTTGGGTTGGGCCCAAAAATGCTTATGTTGGGAAGGGGTTGTTTTGAGGGTCAGCAATAACATACATAAAGTGCCTGGTGCCTGACAGGTGCTGAAGAAATGGTGGTTGCAGTCAGGATTCAAGAGCCGGGAGAGACCGACGCAGCTGGCGCCAGCTGAGAGGGGAGCAAGCCGCTCCGCACAGAGGGCTCCATCCCAAGTGCACACGTGTTTTCCGCAGGGGTAGCACCTTTAACCAGGGACGTGGATGTGGCTTGTCACTTTAGCTCTGAAAATGGGACAGAAGTTGTTGTGAGGAAATCCCTTTTCACAGAAAGCAGAATGGTGCTTCAGGAACCCCCTCCTCTTTTTCCCTCTGCCACCCCCAATCTAGAGCTGGCTCCACCTCATCCGTATTATCCAAACGCCTCGCCCAGGAAAAAAAGTAAGGCTCACCTGCGGTTCCAAATTCTGCTGGGTGGCTTTGAGAAAATCACATACCCTCTCTGAGCCTGAGGTCCTTATCTTTCACTAGGGGGTGGAGGGTGACACCCCTTCATTCATGCAGGGCATACTGATTGTGATGGACACTTCCTCATCCTCATAGGCCGACAGTCCAGTGGCAAGATCAGGCTTTAGTGAAACCACTGCAAATACCTCATTGCAAAACAAAATATCTGCCTTAGAAAGTTGTGCTCAGGCAATACTTTTCCCAATTTTTTTTTTTTCAGCAGAACCTTTCATTCAAATGAAGCCTTGCCCAGGACTAGGTCATGGAAAATAGCTGAAAGGGAAGTTGCTCAGAGACTTCAAGGGATACGGCTGGAAACCAGAGCTTGATGCCTGGGAGGGAGGGGTGAGGAAACGCCCACAGTGGCCGAGAAGAGTCCTGGCACATCGTGGTGATTGGAGAAGCCATTCCCCTGCCTGAGGTCATCATCTGTCTCTCTCTCTCTCTCTCTCTCTCTCACACACACACACACACACATACACACACACACACACACACACACACACACACACACACACAATGTCAAATGGTAGTGGGTGGGTACAGGGGCCAGACTCCTCAGTCTCCAGGCCCCTGAGTGTCTCTGGTGCCAGACACCCTGAGCTGCCTAGAAGCCTCCATCCATCCTGGCCCAGGGTGCTCAGGGGCTGAGAATCCGGGGGTCCCTGGAGATGGAAGACGCTGAGTCTGGGCAGGCTCGTGCTGGAAACCAGCTCGCTGCAGCGGCCGACTATCTGATGGAGCGCTTCCTTCATCAGTGCTAATATCCATGTAGCGAAACAATGAAAGGGTTTCCTATCAGTTCCAAATAGGACGTGAAAAACTCTCAGTGCTAAGAGTAGAGGATGCTAGAATAGGGCAATGGGAAACGCCTGAGTCACCGGAGGGCCTCTTTGATTCCGACAGCCCAATCGCTGCAGAGGAAAAAGAGAGAGAGAGTGTTCATTAATGATCCGAGGGAGGGGACAGGAAGGACAGGCCCTTCACAGGGGACCTCCCCGGAGAGCTAAGAGCGGGAGAAGCCCGGCAGTGGGGACACCACCCAGGGAAAGAAACAGAGCCTCGGCTCCACCCGTGCACCTGCCCCACCCAGCCGCCCCGCACGTCCACGAGCCACGCGCCAAGAGCAGTTCTGGTTTCCACAGATAAACGTTTATTTTAAGGAAGAATATTCAGGACTCCTGCTGCGTTCTTCACCAGACTTGCCTCAGAGAAGCGGCTCACCCAGGAGTTCTGTGGCCACAGGGATGCCCAGGACAGGGAGGCCCGTGTGCCCACCGCCATGCTCTGGTGCTCCGGGCAGTCCCTTGGCCTCACCCACTGCTCAGATTTTCTGCAGGAAAAATGGGAGAGCCACCCATTCAAAGAGTGACCCAGGCCCAGTTCCTGCCCAAAGCCTTTCGGAATGAATCTCCCAGTTCCCCGCTGGCTCCACGTGGAAACTCTGCTCTTTCCTTTTCTAAGGCTGTGCTAGTCTATTCATTAAAAGACAAAACAGGAGATGGAACAGTGGCTCACACCTGTAATCCAGCACTTTGGGAGGCTGAAGTGGGAGGATCGCTTGAGCCCAGGAGTTTCAGACCAGCCTGGGCAACACGGCAAGACCCCATCTCTACAAAAATTTTTAAAACCTAGCCAGGCATGGTGGTGCGTGGCTGTAGTCCCAGCTACTTGGGAAGCGGAGGTGGGAGGACTGCTTGAGCCCAGGAGGTTGAGGCCGCAGTGAGCTGTGATGGCACCACTGCACTCCAGCCTGGGTGACAGAGCGAGACCCCAAATCAAAATAAAATTAAAAGACAAAATGTGGACACACACATGGCCCCAGCAAGCAAGGATGATTACTGACTCCGTGGTGGTATGCACTCACACACCATGTTCCACAAGCTCATCATCTACTAGAGTCAAGAATATTCGGTTATCAGCCTCAGAAATCCACAAGGAGCCTCATATCCCAGGAGCCTCTGGTATCTCAGGGACTTTCACTCCAAGGAGCCGCCTCCACTGGGCCTTCCCCACTGGGATGTATGTGGCCCTGTCCACGTGCTGGGTAGAGAGGAGCAGGCTGTCTGGTGCTCTGTGCGGGGCTGCAGCCTTTCTGGAAAGGCTTTGTCACATGCCACTGGTGTGCAGGCCCTGTGCAAGGTAGGGGCTTCAAGAATACGCATCAAATGAACCCGAACCCAAGGACACTCGCTCGCCTGTGTCATCTGGGGGTCTCCTTCCACAGGAAGGGCATCTGGGCGGACTGAAGGCTCCCAGGGCTCAGGTCCAGAAAGAGCTGGAGGCTCCTGAGAGCAAGGGGCCCTGCTCAGCCCCAGCCCGGAACAACGCGAGTTTCGCACACCGCAGGTGTGTGCGTGTGGGAGCCTCTTCCTGAAGCCTTGAGGTCAGGGGCCGGGGCCCAGCAGGCTAGCTGCGTTTATTGTCCATTGTCTCGGGCCGGGACAGGAAGCACTTTCTGTTCCCAATTGCTCGGGTGGATTAATTTACAGTGGGAAGCTCAGAGTCCGCCGCACCTGTTTTCCTCTGAGGGGCCAGCTTCCAGCTTGGAGGGTGTTTCAGGAGGGGTCCGGAGATGCAGCCTCCTCCAGAGACCCTTGGCCACAGCCCCTGCCCACTCCCTGCTGGGCAGAGGCTGAGGCCCTGGCAGCCCTGCCTGCTTGCCTGGGTCACGCCGCCCACCCGCGGGGAAAGCTGAGCCCTGTGGGGTTCACACCGCACTGTCATCAGGGAGCTGTGGTGAGGCAGCCTCAGCAACGCGTCTTCCCTTTGGTTGGGAATCCGCTCTCTGTTCCAGGTTCGGAGCAGGTGATATATGCTTGCTCTTTTCATATGGTGAGGATTGGTAGTCCCATTCTACAGACGAGGACACTGAGGCTCAGCAACGCTGGCTACACAGGTCGAGAATGAAGTAGTGGGATGCAAACCCGAGTCTGCTCTAAGTCCCAGAGCTGTCAACCTCCGATGTCTCAGTAGCCAGCGAAAGCATGTGCTGAGTGCCACCGGCCGGGGTATAATGAGGTGGAGCGGCAAGGGGTGGAGGAGAGGAGAACTCAGGGATGCAGGCAGGGGGACCCTGTGCCATCTCCAGGGGCAGCGCTGCTCAACCCCAGCCTGCTGTTGCCTTGAAGTAAGGTGAGCCCTGCGTGGCCACATTTTTCCTTGTTAGTAACTCAGAAGATACATTTCTAGACACAGGATAGGTCAGGAAAGCCTGTCTGCAGGCGGCACATTGCTTCCCACCTCTGCTCTGTGCCAGCATGACAACACCAAGAGTGTCACCCGGGCACCTCCACCACCAGGACCCATCCTGTCTTCAGGCACCCCCCATTTCCCCTGAGCAGCAGGCACTGTCTTCCTGTGGACACACAGGGGACAGGCTTCCAAAAAGACAGGCTCCCAGCCCTACACACCAGGCTGGTCTCGGCTTGCTCACTCCACTCCTGCCTCCCTGCATCAGGTTTTCGTCACCATTGATGCAGGAGCCTGAAGAAGAATTCTGGAGTCTGTTGGAGGATGGGGATGCTGACTGTATTTCTATAGGTGCCTCTCTCATTTTTGTAGGATGGCCCCAAGATAGCCACCCATACCCCCTCCCGCCCCCATGCTAACCCTTAGCCAGCACTGCCAGGATGGGCCAGCTTGCTCTGTGCCACTTGTTTTGTTATTTGCTTGTTTGCTTGCTGGAGACCAGGTCTTGCTCTATCACCCAGGCTGGAGTGCAGAGGTGTAATCATAGCTCACTGCAGCCTCCACCTCCTGGGCTCAAGTGATCCTCCCATCTCAGCCTCCTGAGTAGCTGGGACATAGATGGGCACCACCACGCCCAGCTTATTTTTTTATTTGTTGTAGAGACAGGGTCTCGCAATGTTGCCCAGGCTAGTCTTGAACTTCTGGCCTCAAGCCATCCTCCTGCCTCAGCCTTCCAAAGTGCTGGGATTACAGATGTAAGCCACTGCACCTGGCCTACGCCACTTGCGTACTCCACCAGAATAAGCTTGGCTCCCTGACTTTGGTGGCTTAAGATGGCTGCACTCCCCTCTCTCTGCCCAGGCCCCTGCCCACCTGCCCTCTGCTAGGCTGCTTCCGCCTACTCAGGCAGGGCGGATGCTTCATTGTGTGGCCCTGGATCCAGGTTCCCCCACTGTCCCCCTGAGTGACAGGGCTGCCCTTTGTGGAGGGGGAGATTAGAGGCGGGCTGGAGGCTGTGCAGCCCTCCCTGGATGACAGGACACATCAGCCCCACACACACCACACACCGCAGGGCCTGGAGCGAGGAAAGCCTTGACAGGCCTGGAGGGGATCCAAGAGGGGAGCCGAGGAGGGGGCAGGCTTCTCGCACACAAAGGCCGGGCCTGTCTTCACACCTGCGGGGATGAACAGAGCCCAGGGCCGGGAGAGGTGGGGGCTGAGGGGGGATGAATAATTCACTCTGAAAGAAGCGTGTCACAGGGAGATAGCTCAGCCAGACACTTCAAATAAAGGCAAGCAGCCGTGGTGACAGGGGACATTCTTTGCCACCGATGCACCGCTGGGACCTAAGAGCTGAGATGTCGTGAAAGAAAGGCGCCTTGAACCCTTCATAGTTATTTTTACTAAAAAAAAAAAAAAAAAAAAAAGGAGAGGGGGAGAGAGAGAAAATACCACCACAGAAGCAGGGACGGCCATCGGAGCCCAGAGAAAGGGCAGATAATGAGTTCTGGCACCTTAATTTCACCTTTGTCAGAAAGCACGGCTCTTCCTGGGCACACCTAAAGAACCAGGTCTGCTCGTTCTTCCTGCCTCGGCATCTCTGGCCACCCTGTTCCCCCACCCAAGGCACCCCCACCCCGCCACCGCTTCCTCCACAGAACCCTTCCCAGGGTTCCAGAGCCATCTCCGAAGGCCACTTCTGCCCTGAGGTCCACCCCAGCAGACACCGGCGTTCATACCCCTCCTCCCAGGCAACCTGACTCTGTCCTCAGGCAGTGACCTTACCTTTTGACATACTTCTCCCCGCCACTCAGCCAAACCCTCTGGAGGGGGCACCTGTCCCATTCTGTCCCACACCCTCAGCAGAGCACAGTGTCCTGTACACAGCGGCCACACGCTACGTCACTAATGAGAACAATCACAGTGGCTTCTTTTTTCTTGGGTAAACAAGACAATGAAGCTCCAAATACTAGTGTTCTGGAAAAAAATCACGCCCTCAGTGTCCACTCACAGCGGAATACCTAAATAAGTGTGACTGAACCCAGCATGGGGCCATCTAGAACCACGCAAAAGAATGAGGCTGATCTAGATATGTTCATGTGAGTGGGCATCACGGACTTCCGTGGGGAAAACTGCAGATGGCACATGCACATACATGTGCATCTAGACATACGTGGATATATGTATGCATATGGCACAGGAAGAGGTCTGGAGGATTCTTCCAAAACCACAAACTGTGGCTACCTCTGTAGTCAGGATTTAGGGAGACAAGGGAAGGTGAGGGAACTGCACTTGTTATTATACACAGTTCAGTATTATTTTAACTTTTTACAGCAAGTACATATTGCTTTTGTAACTAAAGAATATATATATACATTTTGGCTGGCCGTGGTGGATCACACCTGTAATCTCAGCACTTTGGCTGGGCATGGTGGCAGGCGCCTGTAATTCTAGCTACTCAAGAGGCTGAGGCAGGAGAATCGCTTGAACCCAGGAGGCAGAAGTTGCAGTGAGCAGAGGTTGCAGTGACCCGAGATTGCACCATTGCTCTCCAGCCTGGACAACAAGAGCAAACTCCATCTCAAAAAAAGGAGGATTGCTTGAGCCCAGGAGTTCGGGGCTGCAGTGCTGTAACGGCGCTATTGCCCTCCAGCCTGAGCAACACATCAAGATATCTGCGTGCATGTGTGTGTGTGTGTGTGTGTGTGTGTGGAGAGAGAGATGTATATATATACATTTTCTCTCTAGAGAATGTATATATATACATATGTATTAGAGAGTCAGAGATATATATACACGCATATACACAAGAGAGTGAGAGAACGTATATATATACATATATATATGAGAGAGAGTGTGTATATAGAGTTGCCTATACAGGTTTACATATTTACATACACGTATGTAAATATATATATTTATATATGTAACTATACATATATATT